ACATTTATAGCACATTATCTCTGTACAGTTAATTAAAATACTGAACATTTGAACATTTAAACATTTAAAACATAACATTTAGAATTCCACATGGAATATACATAAATATCATTTAGCATATCCTGATACACTTTCAGACATGTGAATTGTCCAGGTAACAGAATCCTGGACCAAATGATTCTCTGTTACCTCTTCATGCTGGCTTGCCATGTGTAGTTGTATGAATGAAGGAGTTAACTGTTTCAGCCTAATGACATTAACTTAAAAATCATACTTTAACTTACTCCGTAATTTATTTTATGCCAGTGCTGCAGAAAGATCAGGCCTGAGAAGACATTTATTCCTATGTTCCTTCGAGCCAATATTTATTAATATGCAACCCTAAAACAAATGGTCATGTAAATTTCCTTATTTAGTCATTTTAGATCCTGAAACATTCATTATCACACAACAGAGACCTTCGATGACATGTCATCTTTTTTTCCTTGTATCCTATGGGATGCTCTTAAATATATAAATCTCAGATATGAGCTGCTGGTTACAGAGATGTAAATTTTATAGGTAATTTTTTGGTAAATTTTTGGAATTTAAGGGTATTTCTTGTCATCTTTGGCTATTTTAGGGAATTTTTCTTCGTATGTTTTCTGATTTATAGGTAATATGGAAGCGAAGTGTTCTTTCTCTTTCTCCTTTAGGTCATTTTTCTGGATTTTTTCGGTCATTTTATAGGTCATTTTTAAATATTTTCAGGTCATCAATAACAATAACAATGCCAGCATGTAGAATATTATATGGAAATTAAATGGGTAAAAACATAATTAAATTTGTAGATATGTGATTTCCTTTTGGAAGGACAGATTTCAGTGTCATTACTCAACTACTTAATCAATGGTTTCCATGTGGAATTTAACACTCATGTCATTTAGAGTATTGCCAGCAATACTTCTGTACTGAATCAATTGATTAAAGCTTACAAGGCAACAGAGTAGGCCTATGTACTAGGGAAATTTTCTCTCCTGTCGACATCTTCTGAAGAAAAAAGATCTGACAGATGTTTTAAAAAACCACTCATTAAAAGAACATTTTGATCAGTATTAATTCAGAGTAAGATTTTATAAAAGCAGTTGTACTCATATATTGTGTGGTGTTTTAAATGAACTGCAATGTATTTACCTTTTCTAAAATGCATACACATTATTTGTTTTTTGGAAGTGGCACTTCCTACTGGGTTCTGACACTGTGTACTAATGGAAGACGTCTATAAATTACATGTGATAATTCACTTTATGTATTTTATCCTTGTCAATCACTTCTGAAAAATGATTGATCATTCTGTAGTAACCACTTGGAAAACAGGACTGGGAGCTATGAATAATGTAAGAAATAGAGCATGTAACCTGATTCTGAAAGTAGCAATTATGCAGTGTACTTATTCCTTGTAATTATTAGCTCAATATGATATTAAAAATTTCCATATATGATAACCACAAAAGATAATACTGTACACCAACTATTCTCTAAAAAAATCATCAGTAATGTGTGGTCCTTAAGATCAAGTCAGTGATGAAAGATATTTCTAAAGATACTTTCATTTGTCTTTGCATTATTTGTTTCACGATACACTTATGAGACATACTGGCAAGACAAACACATTTGCACAATGTCACTATAATAATTTTCTCACTATACACTAAAATCAATACCAAAGGCAAAAGTGTATGAAAGTAATATTAATGTTTTCATACTTATATAATTCCAAGAACTCATCCTTTTGTTCTGTGAGGTATGAAATAGTACAATCTTACAGATCAGCAAATTAACAAACTTAAATAATAAATTACAGAAAAAAATAATGTCACATGAAAAAAGATTGAATAATTTAGAGCTCTTGTCACTATATGAACTGAGAATAATAAAATAATTAATTCGAAATTAATATTCCTTATATGGATTGTTACCAATTCGTTTCACACATGTGACTGTCTCTGTAGTGTCTAATAATTTATTAAAATTGCATGAGTAGCACTGATGTAAATCACAGGTACAATTAAATTATTATCATTCTTAACAGCAATTAGAACCAAACATTTGCTTAAACAATAAATTAATTTGTTTGAAAAAATTATATAGACATCTAAACAATGCAACACAAAATGTTTAAAGACAGAGATTCTTTTATAAAACTGTGAAGAATTCAGACATATAGCTAGTGCCTCGTAACTTTAGCCACGTGGAAAGGTAAACACTGTTGTGAAGCACAAGAAGCTGTACACTTGCTGTGGTGATGTTCAGAGCTACTCCCCGAGCAGAAAATATTGCCTACAGAGACCAGGAGTAGATACACAATGTACAGGGTGGGGCCCAGAAACTTCCCTTTTTGAAGGCGAATAAAAGAAAAATTATTGCTGATAGACAAAAATTTATGTTTAGCTAATGAAAGAACATACTTTAAAGTTATAAATCATGCAGTTTCAAACAAAATATCTTGAAGGCGGTGGCCACCGTTCTCTATGCACTGATGCAACCGTTTTCTGAAGTTCCCTTCTGCACGTTCCAACATGTGCACCGGAATTTGGGCTACTTCCTGCCGAAGAACATTCTTCAGCTGAAGCAGTTTTGTGGGGCGATGTTTAAAAACCTCTGCCTTGAGGTATCCCCATAAAAAAAAATCATAGGGCGTTAGATCAGGTGAGTGCGCTGCCCACAGGATGTCACCTAAAAGTGAGATGAGCCATCCAGGGAACTTCGCCCTCAAAACTGTCATCGAAGCTCGGGCTGTGTGGGCCGTGGCACCATCCTGTTGGAACCAGACATTTCCTAGATGCATTTCTTCAAGAGCTGGTTCGAAAAAGTTTTTAATCATGACCACATACCACTGTGTATTGACAGTAACTGTATGATTGTCTTCTTCAAAAGAATAAGGGCCAGTAACTCTAACTCTCAACAACACACACCATACTGTCACCTTATCACTGTGACGTGGCCTCTCATGGAGCTCTCTGGAATTGTTACCACTCCAATAGCGCATATTCTGCTTGCTGACATATCCGGATAGGTGAAAATGTGCCTCATCATTAAAGAAAACAAGTGTGTCAGGGGGTAAAGTTTCCAATAACATTCGCACACAGTTATTCGGTTCTGGAAATCACATGGTGACAATTCTTGCACAACGACCATCTCATATGGATGGAAATGAAGATGTTCGTGAAGAATTCGGCACATTGAATGATCGGATATGTCTAGGGCGACTGCATGTTTGCGAGTGGAGCATCTTGGACATCTCAAAATCGACTGTTGAACTGCCTCCACATTTTCTGGCGTCATAATGGTCCGTTGTCATCCTGATGATTACCACACTCCTGGGCTTAATTCTGAAGTGAGTATGGAGTGCACACTGCACCGCCATGTAGGAATGGCTGTTTAACAATAGGCTTCAACAGCTAACGCACGCTGCTCACTCGTCCACCTCATGTTTCCTACTGTGGGGTATTAGACAGAAACTTCCGCAACTGCTGCATTCGCCGAGCCTATCCCCACTTTTCTGTGACCTCCCCTCCCTTCACAATGCATCTTCACAAAAAGCAAGTTCCTGCACCCACTCTGTACTATACACCTGACCACACTCCAAGATGCTACATTCCAAACTGGTAGTACCCACGCTGATGTAATGATAAGACTGCTCCCCCAGCTCCACAAGAGATGGTATGACCCCTCTACCACAGCTAGAGTTCTGAGGAACTAACAGTATCTGTAACATGAACAATTCTATTCATATCCATCAAATTACTGAAGACTTCTTGCAAATTATGTGTAGGTTACAGAAGACATGTTGGATCACTAAACATTATGGAATTATATTTAGATTAAGTTTAAATAAAATTCAAAGAGACTGATGAGAAGCAGACATACACAAGGGCTCACTGCAATACTAAAAAAATACCGAATTCTTAACCATGTATGAACCTCCTCAATGAAGAGACAGAAGGATGGAAGACAGATAAAAGTTAAGAATTATTTTGTATAATCATTTTTAATGGCCCTGTATATCTGTATCTCAGCTGTTGGATTCACATTCTTCAAATAGTGAATTCCATAATATTTTAAAATTAGCTGCTCTCCTGAAAACCAGTGCCTAAAGTGGACTGGTACACTATTCCAGTTCTCTTTCATGACATCAGACTGACAAAACTTGCATGTCATTATTTTGATTATGCCACAGCCCTGAAACAAGATTCATCTTAACATTGAATAGTGAAAAATGATTAAAAGTACTCCAGGCCAACAGTGAACAAAATTAAATAGTAGTTACTATAGGATTCTGATGATGGTGTATAACACACTGATATATTGGATTTTTGGACTTTATCCATCGTCCTGGTTTTTAAGATAACTAATAAAAACACGACGTTTCGGAAACTGGATCTGTTTCCGTCCTCAGGTGAAGGAAACATCCAGTTTCTGAAACATCGTGTTTTTATTAGTTATCTTAAAAAACCAGGACGATGAATAAAGTCCAAAAAAAGTTAAGAATTATTTTGTATAATCATTTTTAATGGCCCTGTATATCTGTATCTCAGCTGTTGGATTCACATTCTTCAAATAGTGAATTCCATAATATTTTAAAATTAGCTGCTCTCCTGAAAACCAGTGCCTAAAGTGGACTGGTACACTATTCCAGTTCTCTTTCATGACATCAGACTGACAAAACTTGCATGTCATTATTTTGATTATGCCACAGCCCTGAAACAAGATTCATCTTAACATTGAATAGTGAAAAATGATTAAAAGTACTCCAGGCTAACAGTGAACAAAATTAAATAGTAGTTATTATAGGATTCTGACGATGGTGTATAACACACTGATATATTGGATTTTTGGACTTTATCCATCGTCCTGGTTTTTAAGATAACTAATAAAAACACGACGTTTCGGAAACTGGATCTGTTTCCGTCCTCAGGTGAAGGAAACATCCAGTTTCTGAAACATCGTGTTTTTATTAGTTATCTTAAAAAACCAGGACGATGAATAAAGTCCAAAAATCCAGTATATCAGAAAATTAAATAGTTTTCTTAATTATGAACAAAATCTTTCTATGTATGCGATTTAAGGTTCTCATGGTAGTGAGTATTAAGATAACAGTTTTCTGAGATGTGATGCCCTATATTTCAGTAGATACCAATGTTTCAGAGGAAAATGTTACCTCTATCTACTCTACCCTGAAAATGGAGCCAACAGGTTCTTCCAAAACACTAATACAGACAAATTAACCACTGGATTACCTGCACCAGAATTTTCCTGGGACAGGGAGGAAGGAAAGTTAAAGGAGGTTGACATATTTAAAACAATGAGGTGCAGGGGTGGCAATGTCTTTTTCTATACTCTTTTAATCTCATATTGGAAAACACTGTTATGCAGTTTCCTGTAGGATGGCATTTACACATTCTGAAGAAGAGTAAAGCATGTCAGTTCTAAAAGATTTGGATGGTAGTGTATTCTGGAATTGTTTCCAAAATATTCTGTTCTTTCAGAATGCTAGATAATAAATTCCAAAAACTCGGTACTCCCGAGAATGAAGTACTTAGTGACATACTGCCAAACCTACTAATTTGTAAGCATGCAAACACACACATGCACACACACACACACACACACACACACATGCACACACACAACAATGACAATAATAATGGGTTTGAATAGTGACTACAGGTCACTCGGCTTGCTTAGCTTACTCAATGTCCCTGAAAATGGAGGCAGTACATTCTTCTGAAATGCTGTTAAACTACCAAACTACACAGCACCATGTCTCAGAAAATGGTACTTTTCATGTAAGCAACTGCATTACAGGCGTAACACAGAGACTTACATGATGAATAAAAGAATATTTCTGTATCACATGTCTAATATGAAATGTCCCCTAGCCAACAAAGTTCATATATATGACCACTGTAAATGTTAGCATTTTTATGTGTGAATAACTCCTTTACTCCGTAACCAGCCAAGTGCTGGGTCAGAAATGAAGCCCCAAAATTAGGGACAGAGGAGATAACAATGTGCTGTGTCTGGTCAGAGTACTTGGTATTTCACAAGATGGTGAGAGATAAGAATGTAGCAATGGGAGTGACAATTAGCATGGGAAAACTGAAGGAATTCCAAGAAATACCTAATGTAACGCCACTGCATCCACCACAAATCTCAAACGAAGTCATCTGAGACTGAACCCAGGCATCTGAGATAAGAAGCCAGTGTCTAACTATCTGAGCTAGGCCACAGTCATACATACGTCAAAGCCTTGAAGGAACAGGAAGAAATTATGCATATACAGCTTGGAAAAATAATGGTATCAAGGAAATATAAATCTTCCTATTCAGATATGTCTACAGACCTGAGTGTTTAAATCCTTGCGTGCATTTATTTCTTTACTGTACGTCCATTTCCCTCTTTTTTCATCACTCATCCTAATACTCTTAAGTGAAGAGTAAATATTCTGCAGCTTCTAATTGGCAAGTATCCCTAATACATCTTTCACATTATCTCTCTTCAATCTAAATGAAATACTCAGTACACTGTGTGGAATTTCAGGTTCTGACATCTCTTCTGGGATAAAATGCTATGTAGTTAAGTGAAAGTCAATTAATGATTCAGAGGAACATGTAACCTCCATCTTCAGGGTTAAAGAGTAAGCCAAGCAAAATCCCAACATGAAACAGGCAACCAGCAAGTAAGCTCTGATTGGCTTACTCTTCAATCCTGAAGAAGGAGGCGGCATAGTCCTCTCAAACGCTGATTTGCTTGCTGTTTGCTTCATGCTGTTTTTGCTTCACTTACTGTCTTCTGAAGAGAGAGGAGACATGTTCCTCCAAAACTTCAAGTGACTACATGACATTATACTGCAGAAGATAGAATTCTGCTCAATGCATTGCTCTTAAGCACTCTCAGTTTCATTTCTTCTTCAGGAATATGTTATATTTATGTGGGTAAAATGCCCCTACCTCATCAATTCAGTTATGTCAAAGGCTGAAAATGGTTCTATATGGGAACAGATGCCATTTATCTACTTCCACATTTATGTTTTAAAAATGCTATTTCTAGTGCTTTCAGAGGTCACAACTGTGTTATTATCACTATTACATGTAAAAAATCCCTAATCTGAATTTAATGTGAGCTAATTTTCACATTACAATCATCTTGGATCCAGAAGGAGACCTAAAATAAACTTAGTTCCAAAGTGTTTATAGATCACATACAAAAACAAACATTTGTACTGGTAAATATGGTTAGAGATGTAAGTCTCTGCCCTACTTAACAAATTAGGTAACAATTTAAAGTCAGCTTTACATCCTGTACTTTATAAAAGCAATACATTTAAAGAAGCATTATACATACATGTGAGGTTCAAGGTTCTCTGTACAGTGACAATGTGGATTACTTTCTTCTGGAATGTGACGCCATGTAGATCCATAGATATGTACCAACACTTAGATGGAACCTGCTGCCTCAATCTTCAGAGTAAAGGATAGAGAAATCAGATTTATATAAAATGTTGGTACCTATCCACCTATCACACCCCCACAGGTCCATAATCTTAATCTGAACTTTAATGAACCTCTTTTACAAATATGTGCGGGTCATTTCCCAAGACTTTTCTAGTGACCACATGTGACTCTCTGAGCATTCACTTAGTTCTTAATATCCATTTCTGTCCTCAGTTATGTGTGTCAAAAATGAATCTGCCAGTTGCAATGTTCAAGAATGCTGATATCATCTTCATTTCTGATGTATAATGCTTGCAATGATCAGTTTAACTTATATATGAAACATTCGATATAAGACAATATATGAGTAGATGATATACTCGTATGTTGGAAATGCTGGACATTTCAGATTGGACATCATCATTTGTCACCAACAACAGATTCACAAATTATTATTACAAGAGTTGAATATTATCAAATGTACTTGTAAATTGCAAATAAAACAAAAACAAACAAAAGGCTATGTTCTAAAATAAAATGCAGTACAACAGATTATTTCACTTAATTTCATTGATGTATTATTGCATTTTCAACATTATATCCTGGAAAGGGTTACTTTGAAAATTGCCTTGTCATCATGTAATAAAACTACTGTAGTTTAGTTTAGATGTCATGATATTTCTAGTGAATACATGCACATGTTTATACTAGAACACAGGAGTTACTGTGTAGACGATGTTTTCCACTGCCAATACCACTGTCTCCACTACCAAACCTCGCACAACATTGGTGCTGCTGCTGCCCATGGTAAGTGTGATTGTGGCGATGGTGATGCTGATGATGGTGACTGTGATCTTGGTCTTGCTTCTGCTGTCGTTCCTTTTCTAATAAGACTACCTGTCTTGCCCGCACACACAGATTCCCATCTGACTGTGATGTGGATGGTAACCCTACTGGTATATTTGTTCCTACTGCTTCATCTTCATCACTCCCCTCAAAAACGTTGCTAAGCACTGGATTCACTTCACTGTCTGCAAAACTGCCCCTGTGACTTGAAAGAGGCGCTGTTACATCTGTTGTGGTATCACTGGCTGAGACAGGGGCAGGGGTAGGAGCTCTTGGAAAGGCAGGGATAAGCATTGTAGCAGAACATGGTAAAGGAGGTAATGGTAATATTAATGGTTCATTTGAATCACTAAGTGAAGAAGGAGATTTGCATAAAAGTGTTCCAGTTCTTGAAAGAGTACCAGTAACAGCAGTTGTAGTTTTTATGATGGAAGGTGCTGTGAATGTTGCAGAACGAGAAGATGCTTTGAGAGAGGCTAGGTCTTTGGTTTCACGCTCATTGATGGCAGAATAACCACACGTCATGAACACTGCACCCATTGAGTTGGAGCGGGACTCTGCAGAAAGTAAGGTGGTAAATTTGTACAATGAAATAGTGTTAACACTTTGAAGCCTGGAAATCAGCTAAATAATATTTAAAATCTTGATTCTTAACTCACAGAAAACACAACACATCTTCATTACAAACACCAACTGGTTAATTCTATACAGTGACATTTTGATTGTATGTGGTAATCATAGAATAGGTCGGATAATAAGAATAAGGAAAATCAATAATCTCGACATACCCACCATCCATGCTGAATTCAACCCTGAAAAGCACTACTGAAACTTAGTTGCTATTCTCCTGGTCACTATGCAGTAAGACAAATATCTTCCTAACAGAAGAGAGCAGCCCTTGTTTGGTGGTGGCATACCGATATGAAAAGCAATAAAATAATAAATTATAAAGTTCATAATTTGTATAGTCTACTGCAAATCATAATAAACCATCACTGAACGAGATGAAATAGGAAACCCTTAAATCATTTCAGGAACCTATAATCAACAATTAAGAGGCACTAGAAGTCCTGTGGATAGTCCAAATAGAGGATAATCCATGCATGGATAATGGAGAGTCTCTTGTGTAGATAAATAATTGTTATTTATTCTGAAAATCATACATAAGTCATAAGTATGTTCTGCACGCAAAATTCAGAATTCTTTAATGTTAAAACAGTGGATGCATAACAGTTGCCACTGTGCTTTAAAAAGTTATATCATACACAAGTAATACTTTCACCAATTCATGCAGATTTTTAAAAGTCAAATTTGTATTAAATTTGTATTAATATCTTCAGTTTTGGTTCATTAAAATTATAAATATACATCATTATTTAAATTATTTGCATAACCTTATGTTGTGTAATCAGATGAATTTAATATATGAAACAAGAAAATATTTGAAAAATTCTGAAAGGTGGTTTAAAGTTCCTGATTAATGTAAACACCTTATAAACTTCGCAAATAAGATATATTCACAGAAAAAGTCATCCTATATGTGTTTTAATATTACATTACAATAAATTACATACCTCAGTTGTTAAAGCACTTTATTTTATATCACAAACTAAAAACAAATATGTTAGTAATTACTAAACCATTTACTTTTTTTTTTCTATGTTGTCTGAAGAAATGAAATAAATAAGCCACTATCTGATATGTAATTATTTTGTGAAGTCAATGAACTTTTGACAGCATGAAAACTGTTTCATTAAAGGTTAACAAATGGTTAACTAACGTTCAATTTCAAGTCATTTTTATCATTCCTTGATTAGATCACGGCATTTCTGGTGCTCAGTAAAAGGGTTACTATATTAAAAAAAATCTTCAGGGCATAATGTGACTGAAGACCTTTACACTAAACAGATGTCATTATTTCTGATTTCCAGCCTGTATGCTACGGTTGTAACTTCCACTGTTTAAGAATTACACTTGTTAAGCCTCTACTATGATTTGAAAGAAATAGTGTGCATATACAGCATTATCCTAAAATGAACTGAAGCTGAGGCAAATGGTGAGAAGAATTATTCAACCTTGAACATTATATTATTCCAAAGACAAAATAACTCCATCCAGTGCGACTATTAAATTAAAAACTTTAATACCAGGAAAGCAGTTGTGATTGTGAAAAATTGGATTTTGTGTATATTGTGTATTCCAGGCAATGTGTGTGTATGTAATTTAGCACTCAGAACACCTATTGTGATAGTGGTTTCCAAATAAGTATTGATGTTCCCTCTGAAGATGATCCGTAAGGATTGAAACATGTAAGGGTACTAAGTTTTCAAGTAGTAAAACTTAAATAGTTACACTGGACGGAGTTGTTTTGTCTTTGTAATTGTTAGTGTGATGGACCAGAATGAAACAAATCAAATTATATTATTCATCTGAACAAATTAAATTCCAGTTCACGAACAGCAATAGTAGTTATCAAAAAATCATGCTAATGCTTTCAGCTTGCAGAGTACACATGGGTGGGTTTAGGTAAATGCCTCTCTTTCTCTTGCCATAGGATACTATATTTAAACTTACAAAGTTCTATACCCTTGTTACAAAGCTTTACAGACATGAAATGTGAATTTCAGTTTACAACAATCAATTTTCTGGACATTACCTACCTAATATGTTTTTAAATCAGATGACACTTCAGAGAGTGGACTGTCTCTGTAGTCTCCAAAACATTATCTCAAACAAAGAAATGTTTTCAATGAAGGGCACTGTCCAAGAGATTTATCATTGTATTGATATACCATTGTCACAAACTTTTGGACAAAACTTTAGTTTTATTGTCCTCTCCCTGTCCTCTCTTCTTGACAAATATGTCTGATTGGGTGGTTACAATCTCCAAATATGTCTTCCTATACTTCTCTCATTTGAAAACAAAATGCTCAGGCAATTAACTTTACCTAAGAAGGATGAAGTAAATAAGCAATTTGGAATATTACAAAACATGGAGCATCTTGATATATATACAGATCACTAAGTAATGTTGGAATAATGAAATCTATGAGTGTCTAATGGGCTGGTCTAAACTGGGAGACAAAGAACAAAATTTGCAAACAAAATTTTAGCAGAAAAACATCTTAAAAAAAGCTCATTTGGAAGACCAAGAATCAGATGAGAAGAAAAATGATGTAGGTCTGTGAGGATGGGAGCTGGATGGAAGTGGCTTAAGATCAAGACCAATGGCAGGCTTTGATTTTAGCTATTTAACTTTTGGGTTCTGCTATTATAATGTCCCATCAGTTAGCTATGTGCATTTATTGTATATACAGATCCAATGTTGCATATACCACTCAGCATGAAATCACAGATGTTTTTCCTTTTACTTACATACCCATAATATTAAAAAATATTTCAAACAAAAATTTTAATCTTAATAAGATCTGAAATGCACTTTACATAAAAAGTTTTAATTTTGTACTATAGTGAGCTTCCCATAAAACTAATAAAGTTTGCTTTCAGCCTCATGTAAGTAGCAATTATACTGAACCAACATTAATCATTTTAAGCTTGCATGACAACTTCTGGTGTAGGAACCTAACACCATGCTTCATCAGAATTCATACAGTAGTTTCAGGATTGAAACGTGACTAAGCAAATTAAAAGAAGACCTCCCAATTATGACTTAATTTTATGTACACAGAATGAATAATCTACACATAACCCTGAAAGTCTGCCTGTCTGTCCCTCTGTCCAACCACCACATATCCCATTCTGTTTCTTGGAAACAATGCATCATAAAAAACCGATACAGGTAAAAGCTATTCCCCTTGGGGAGACACCCCCTGGATGATCATTAATTTTGCTGTTGCATGCATGGGCTCAAGTTCAAACCAACATATATACCTGTTACTTATTCATAAGAAAAGGTTTGGGATCATGACACCAACAGACCATGATGACAATGAGTGTGTAAAGTTCATAAGTCTTATCGTAACTGTGTTAAAATGCTGTGATCACATTAGATTGTGGTGTGATGTATTTTCATTTTTAAATGCAGTAGCATAGTTGGTTGAGGGACTATGCTACAAGCTGGGAGGTTGCGGGACCAAATCATGTTGAGGTGGATTTCTTCAATTTACCTAATTCTTCCAGCCACACTATGGCCCTGGGGTCAACTGCACCTCTAACAGAAATGAGTACCAGGAATATTCTTGGGGGTAAAGGGTGACCAGCACATAAGGCTGACAACCTTACCACCATCTATGAGCCAATTGTCTAGAAAATGTGGGAACCTCAACATCCCACAAACCTTTGGACCTCCACGGCCTTATACAGGGATACCTTTACTTTTTTTTATTGAACTTAGTTGTGTGTATGATTAGTTGTAAATAGTGTATTACAGTTTTATGTAAATGAAATTCCAAAGTCAGGCCGTTTTAATGCAGGAATATAGTTTTCTTTATACAGACTGCCCACATTACCTGTATTCTAGAACTGTATGTTCGAGTCCAGATATTTAACATAAGTACAAAGCTCTAAAATCGATGAACATTAATGTGAGTTCAACTGGTATATAAGCCAGAACATATCCACACCGAAGCTATTTAGCAAGACAGCATACCTCTTTGTTTGTTTATCTTAACTGGGGAGTTGGCAATTGATCGTCTTGCTATATCCTGAAAGGTAACAGGAGAATAAACACGCCGTTCCTCTCCAATGCTTGTGAGTCCTAATGTGGACCCTTTTTCAGGCTTTTCAGGTTCTGATCTTGCACAGACAGATGATGGTCGGCGAGCTAGCGGCATACGAAACTCACGGCGATCGAGCCAATATGTCTTCATACTACCTGGAATGGAATAATTGTATCAAGCGGTATATACAAGTAGTATGGCAAACCATTAAAGTGCTTCAGTACAGAATATTTTTAAAAATCTCTATTTGACAGCTGATGAACATATTTAAAAATATGCATCACAGTGTCTTTCAAGATTAATATTAAATCCTTATTTTATATTAACCCTTTCAGGACCAATCCCAAATATACTAGTGTCTATCTAACATGTCTGTGGCCTAACCCCAAATGCACTATTTCTAGTTCTACTTTTTCTTCACATAGATACACTCCTGCTGTGTCTTCTTTGAACATCTGAATTCTCACACCTCTTCAAAGAATGTAAGTTAAAACATGAGTAAAATTGTCCCTCTACTTAATTAAGATACATGCCGCTGATACTATAAGCCAGAAGAACACAGGTTCGATTCCTGATGAGGTCATTGGATTTTCAATAGTCCTAATACTTTCAGCCACACTACAGCACTCTGGTCAACTCATCCTCTAATGAGTAAGAGGAATCTGCCTGGGGGTAAAGGGGAGGGGGCTCATAAGCCTGAAAACCTCACAGCCATCTGTGAGCTGACTGCCTAGAAAATGTGGGAGCCTTAACGTCTCACAACCCGGGATCAAACCCGGCCTGCCATGGTAGGAAGCCAGTGACTAACTGCTTCAGCTGTGGTGTGTCCGAGTGAAAGTATAACTCCAGGCATTCTTAACCTCAGCATATTTTTTCCCAAGCAAAATCAAGAGAATAACAACAAAAACAGGAAAACCTAAGATGAACAAGAAATATGGACTGGAAGGCACATTGATACTTGAAATATGTTAAAGTGAAATAGCAAATATATGTTAAATTACGTATGGTCCTCTTTTCTCTCCCCCCCCCCCCCCCNTATCCACCACTCTAAAACAATTCTCTAACATATAACTTTATTTTTCCGTCATGGAAAAATAAAGTTATATATTGTAACACAACAGGATGCATGAAATGAAAATTCTTTAACAGCTTAAACATGAATTCCACAGCAAATTTTCTGCCTCTCCCTCTCCACACACAAAATCCTGACTGCAAGCGATATTTTGTTTCCTGCTCTGCTGTACGGACTTAAGTCAGTTATATGGAACTGAATCAGAGGATGATTGTGAATGATGTGAAGGAAGCAGTCATGGCCTATTTTAAGGAAGGTTCAGGAACTTGCTTGAAGGAGTTTGGAAAAATGACAGCTCGTTTGGGATAGCTGCTCTCTAGGCTAAGAACTGATTCCAAAACTCCCCTAATAGAAAGCAGTGATTCTTGCCAGTATCAAGTAGTCGTGGTTCTCATGAAAGCAAGAATCATGGATGCTGTAGATGAACAAGGAAGAAAAAAGAAACTAAGATACAGCATGAATGGGAATAAATGATGGTAGGAGAAGGGGATGGTAAAGAGCCCGTTATAAGGTGGAAAGGTATAATAAAGGAAGTACTACTAATTTATGACAATTATATTTATAAATGTACATAATAGACAATAGCACAACATTAAAATAACCTGCAACGATGTAAGAAAATATACAAAGAATTTTCTGTAAGAACCCTATGATCAATGCCCTTAACCAATCGGTAGAGGGATCTCTTTCCCCAGGGGTAAATCAGGCGGTGCATGAAGATGATAATTCCAACTAGTGCAGAGGTTAAGAATATATATGGATCTATATATCCACTCCCCTCTACATCTTCATGGTGCAGTGCTGAATTAGTTGAGCACATGAACAAAGCTTTTTACTTCTTAACAATAACAAGATGGTGGCCAGTAGGATCAAAGTTAGCTATTTTATTTGATAATATAAACATTACTACCACATTAATTGTTTCATATACCTTTTCCTTTAACCTGTATCTCTCCACGTTCAGTAACCAAATAAATTGGAGTCAGCAAATCACGAGTTGACTGAGAGATATGAATCTTCATAGCTTCACTTGTTGACTCCATCCGTGAGGCTGTGTTGACAGAATCCCCAAACAAACAGTAACGAGGCATCTTCAGTCCTACAATGCCTGCCACTACTGCACCAGAATGCACACCCACTCTGATCTGCAGGTGTGAGCCTACAGAACAGTATACCAGACAGGCTAATAACCAGGAGTAGTGTATTCTTAGGGGATGACAGGACTAAAATTTTAGAGTGACTTGACAATGAAAAACTAATAACTGTTGCTATAGATTCAATTAAAGTCTGTTTGAATGTCCTACTACTTTATTAAAAAACTAAACTCTGTTTCTTTGAAAATAAATGAAGAAATTGGAGCAAATTATAAGTACAGGGCAAAGATTAATCCAAAGCCACACATGGCAAAAGTTATATAAGGTAACTTCAGTTTCCAGTGCTGCCAAACATTTAATCCATGAACCACCACTGGCAATATCATTTTCACCTGATGAGGCTGGCTGCTGTCATCCATAAAGCTCTCATCTATTTATGGAGTATGTAATTTAAGCTTATGGTTTTAATTTTAAAATGTTATTACACCGTGATTTTAGTAAATAAAAAAATAGAGTGTTTGAAACCTGTGGTATTCTCAATAATTATATATTTTTATTTACACTTCATATCAAAGTTATAAACTACCCATTTACCGGATGAGTGTTATTTGCTGTGGTATAACCAGGCCTGGGTATTTTCTTTTCAGTCATGTTACTCTAAATGCTTTGGAATGTAAAAATCTTCAATATTTATTTTTTTGTAACAATTAAGTTAAAGTTAAGTTGTTTGCACACATTTTAAACTACTCAGCACCACTTTACAAAAACGTTAACACAGAGCAATTTCAACCTGCCATCTCAGCACATGCAATACAGAAAAACTGGATAGATAGCAGGTGTTAGACTATGCATCTCACAGAGTGCTGTCATATAGACAAGAAAATTCCAAATGATGTAACAGTGAAAGTTCCAGTTCTCTAGCTCATCATACCCAGGAGCTATATGCAATTGAAATCAGAATATGCAATGGTACATCACACCCATTGCATTATCATTCAACCACAACAGAATGTTCTGTCATACTCAGCAAAAGGATCAATGTATTTGTCTCAGCATACTCTCTTGAACAAGCCTATCTTGGTGGTCGAGACACAATTTGACCCAAGGTTCACCAGTTCAAACCCACCTGAAGTTGATGGATTTGTAAGGGCAACAGATATCTAAAGAACATCTTCTTTCATAACGGAAGAAAAGCGAGGGGTGAGTCCCACGTCATTGCATTTAAGGAATGTAAAAAACCCTTTCACTTTTGATAAGAGATGAGTGAAGTTATATTTAGATATCATTTTCAATAGCCCACAAAACTCCCTACTCTGCTCCTAGATGCTGCTGCGGTGATACGATTGTGGAGGCCTCTGGCAAACAAGAGTGGGAACAACTTGAAATCACCCAATTGAGCTGAAGTACACTGGACAACTTAATTTGCCCAAGTGGTGTCCAAATAAAAAATGAGTTATAAATATGACAATCTTTTGATTTTAAAAAGGCATAAATGACTTAATTGTCAAAGCGCAGCATTAGAAACCAAGCAACCAACCCTCTAGAACAATATCTACATGAAATATTACTCTTTAACAGTGACAAAAATATAAATTAAATAATAGTATTACTGGCATTCCACGTTACCTGTAGATGGATCCTTTAGATCCGTAATGGCCTCCACCATATCAAGGGCCATGTCACACACCTTTTCAGCATGATTGATCTCCTTTTCTGGTGCACCCGATACAACCATATATGCATCACCTATTGTCTCCACCTGGCGGCGACACAAAATACCTTGTTGAGGTCTACGGTGAGCGAATGCCTAATGTGCCATCAGGACAGCCAGGAGGATGAAAATGGGGACAAAATGAAGGTAAGTGAAGAAAAGGAGATAAAAGATTAAAAGAAAGAAAAGAAAAAGTGATTTACTAAAACATAGACGTGCAAACTGAAATTATATAATTACAACTACAAGCTTCGAAAATTTCAGAATGTTTAAAAAATATTTATATAAAATAAAGTTACATCTTGGCCACTAGAAATAAGAAGACTGGTCATTCAAAATAAAATAATACTACTCTCCATGTTTTTTGACCTGGTCGATCTCAGGAGAATGCACAGAGAATTTGATGGTGTCCAATGAGATAAGGATTACAGAATGTGCATCAGTTAGTGAGAGGCTTCTCATTCATTCATTCATTGTTGGAGGAGGTGGGTTTCCCCATGCACTTAGACCAGTTATTTGTCCATTGTGCAACCCCCTTGAATTTCTACTGTCCCCATACCCTACCGGTACTGGTGCCCGTTATCAGCCCCTTTCTGCCAGCGAGGTCGGCCCTCTACTGGCAGTGGTATCTGATAATTAGTCCCTTTCTGTCAGCGAGGTCAATCCTCATCTGGCAGTGGTACCTAATACTTTCCCCATCTACCAGAGGCATTGGAAACTACTTGGGCGGGAAAATTTGACTAATTTAGCTCAGAGGTTCTTTTACATGCCGTAAATCTATGACACGGGACCCATGGCTTAAAGTCCCTCCCGGAGGACTTGTTCCCGAATTTTTTCTGCCCTTAAAAATTCCACGACCTCCGCCGGGTTTGAACCCGCATACCTTGAGTCATGAGGTGGGAACGTTACCCCTAGACTACGGAGACCGCTTAGTGAGAAGCTTACTTCCAGCATGTCACTCTCCCTTCCTCCCACAGTTCAGCCAAAATCACCATCTTGCTATTTTTTGCTGCACTCAAACTTATCCTCACATGCAACCCAGAATTCAGGCCTAAAAAGAGCCTGTACTATCAGAGCCATTGATCATTCTATAGTATCAGTAAAGAAACAGTTTGTATATAAGAAATGTGTGAATGAGCACAGGCAAATATAACAGAGAACTGGTAAGGATTTGGAAGGAAGTTGTCATGACCTACTCAAAGTATTATCACGGCATTTTTCTGGATGGACTGGGTAAAACCATGAAAAAATCAATTATGGCAGCCAGTGACCTAGCTGAGATTCAAATCAAGCATATTCCAAAATATAAGTCTACACAGCGTTACTACTAAACTAAAGTGTCTAGTATTTCGTTTTGTATCTGATCTGTATATCAGTTTAAGAAATCTGTATCAGAGGATTTGATAATTATTTCAGTAACTGATTAATCAATAAAGTGTGACAATGTCAAATTGTAAGCAAATGAGATAAGATTTTTTTTGTTATGTACATATTTTTCTGCTGATTTGTAAATGTAAATCATCAAATGCTACTCTGAGCTTTAGAAGTGTAAATGCTTTAGGAACAACTCAGCTTTCTCAGAACTTCATTACAATTAATGACACAAAATCTCCAGACACTGTAATAAAAATAATCCCTCATATTATAATTCTTAAAGCATTTTTATTTATATTCTTGCATTTCTCCAAAATTAATGGCCATAAGGTGGACAAAAGGACAGAAATTAATTCTCATTTAACAATATATATAGAAGAACAGCACCACAAAATGTGTCAACCGAGGCAGCTGCCTGGTTCAATTGTGCTGTTACAACAACCCTGAAAAAAATATGCCAATTTTTGGTCGTATACTTAATTTCTATGAAATGTCATGCATAATTAAAGCTCCTTTAAAAACATTATGAATACTAAATTATAGAAAAATTGTTGACACTATCCAGTGTGATTCAACTACAGTAAAACTTGGTTATAGCAACATCGGTTTCTGCGACACCTTGTCTATTGCGTCAAATATTCAATGGTACGAACTAATTCCTCATAAAGCAACTGTTTTTATACCTTGCTTAGTACGACATGCACAAATGCATCAACCTCGTATGTAACGTCATTTTCATTCCTGAATTTCTCTGATATGGACATTGAACGTAATTTAGAAAGTGTGTACTGGGCAAGTAACAGGAAACAGATGAAGATAACTGATTACTGTACTCGTATCTAGGTACAGTAAGGCACAACAATTGATGTAATCTACTGTAATTTGGTGAGTAGGCCTACCTTTAATATACAGTATTAGTGCGGTGTGTATTGTCAATGAAAAGCGCTGTAATATGTCTTTGATATTACACATTTGGGCAATTCCACGTTAATGTTACGTTAGTCTGTACTTAACTACGTATTTCACTAAAAAATGCAACATTTTTAACTCAGTTTTTGGTAGATTTTTACGTGACTAACATAAGGCTACTGTGGAAGTGCCCATTTCGGTTACAACGACACTCGTTTATAACGACACTATTTTTAGGTCCCTTTGATGATGTTATAACCAAGTTCTACTGTATTCTGTAATTTAATTTATTAGTGTGATGGACTAGAATGAATAAAGTTAAGATTATGAATACTCTTTGAAGATTGATTACACATATTTCATCATAATTACTAGGCTGTATTTAATCAGTTAGAAACAGTAAGTGAGACAGAATTAATTATGGCATACCTTGTAGACACCATTTCGCTCAGTAAGTGTATCAAATATGGAATACATTGCATTGAGCATTGAGACAACTTCCATAGGTGTGATACGGCTGCATATTTCAGTGAATGTCACCACATCGGAGAATAGGATAGAAACACTGTCAAACATCTGTCACAACAGAAACACAAAGGCCCCATATAGTCACTACTGATATAGCACTTTGATTTTTGAAGAGCTTAATAGTCACTACTGCAGATGGTGTGCTGATATTGAAACATGTATTCCATCACAAATTACGTTGTGCATTGGAATAACCTCCATTAATGGTAAGTCCTATATTAAAATCTATTTCGTTTGTTTTTTCCCCTATATGCTCATCTAGCTGATATACCACCATTGTGCAGGCGTAATGCACATATATATTTGCGAAGTGTGTTACACTTAATGTTAACTTAATGATACTTATATATACAAATTACAATTATAAAAAGTATAATGATGTTCCATGTATGGTAAAAAAAGGTAAAGCTATCCCTGTAACAGGCCGTGTAGGTGCATAGTGTTGTGAGATATCGAGACTCCCACATTTTCTAGATAATCGGCTCACACATGGAGGTGTGGCTGTCAGCCTTGCACACCGGCCACCCTTTACCACCCAAGGAGATTCCAGGTACTCTTTTCTGTTAGAGGCTGAGTTGACTCCAGGGCCACAGTGCGGCTGGAAAAATTGAAAAATTCAACTGCCTCATTGGGAATCGAACCCACAACCTTCCAGCTGGTGGCATAGTTTCTCAACCAATTACACTATTGCATGCCCCAATTGATATTCCACGTTTTAGATTTAATAATCTAAATGCAACAGTGTCAACCTTGCACCTTTCTAACTGTAACTTTTAATTCCATAATAATTCTAATATTGAATAATATTAATCTGTTTGTCTCAATCACTGACTGTACTTGAATGAGGTCTTTTTATTTGGATGAATATTAATTTTTTAAGATAACAATACTCTTCTAATATAAAATGTAAATCCTCACAATTTTACAAACTTTTACAAACTGCCTTTTATTTCTGTAAAACTGAAAACTAAATACCACAAAAACTATAACAGATAGACATATAGCAAAAGCAATTGTTTTTTTGTTTTCCTATGCTGCACTGGAAGGGCAGAGCTCAAAAAGTGAGATGAATGTTTCTCAAGCCATAAGCAAAAGATAAAAATGTTTTAGGAAGTTTTCAAATATTTTGGGGGAGGGGAGTTTTAAGGGTCAAAAAGCTCCCCAAGAAGGTCCTCTACCATCATGCCAAATTTGGTCGAAATGTGTCACAGTGTGGAAATGTACAAAGGGTAACAAATACACATGCTTGTTAGTTGATATAAGAGAAGAGGTAAGGAATGAAATATCTCAAAAGGAATGCATCTCCTTTGCTATAAAAGCAGATAATGTAGTTCTGCAAGTGTAATACTGCAGATAATGGTTCTGTAAATTTGTCTTGATAGTACTGTGAAATGTACTTTCACTTAAAAACTACATTAAACAACATTCTCTAGAATCCAAGTATGTAGAAATATTGTGCACAATGTTTTGGATTGACACTAAGACTGAGTCCCAATGCTTACACCATCCAACAGCAGAACTTTCCAAAGACCTTATGGTACACAGTACTAAAACTGATGATCATCACATATATTTTTGAACGTACCTCACAAGTATCTATGGGGTTTTCACCAGTCCGAAGACGATCTGCTACCTGTTTTGGGATCATCTGGTAGAGCAATTCATCAGTTCGTCGCATTTCTTCATCAAGTTTCCTCATTGACTCTTCCAACTTCTTTGATTTCTGCTGCTCTTGGTCTAACGCCAGTTTCAGTTCCACTGACTGCTGGGTTCCAGCTAACATCAGATCTCTGCCAATGATTACATTAATGCTCCAGTTGATTCAAGGTACCACTTATGTGAGAGACATGGGGATTTCCATGCTATTTCTCTTTGCTCTGTTCTATTGCAAAATTATATGAACATATGCCATAATACATTGTGTTGAAAGAGGAATAACTCAATTAGAAAACTATAAAGTACTCCCTCAAATTCATTTGTTAACAGTCAGTGTCTGTTACCTGTTTCAAGTATCTATTATACCTGGTGTTGCAACTCAGTTCATATTAATCTGAAACCTATCAGATATATTTGTTTATCTCCGTTTAATAAGTTGTGTTTCATTACATTACACAGATCTGTATCCATATAACACCGTGTTCTTGCAGCGCAAATGCACACATGCCCAGAGGCAATAAAAAGTACTGCCACATTTTTTCCTTTCCGGAAAATAAAAGCACTTTGTGTGTATTTATGCATACTATTCTGTTACATATGTAATGGCTCTCTAAAAGACAAAGATATGTTGGGTTTTATATCTTAAGTAAATGACAGATTTTAAAATACAAATGCAAGTACAATGAAACAACATTGCTTGTAGAAATAATTTCTTCAGTAATTAAGATGTCTGTTATCAAGTATAATTGCCTATTTTCAAATATTCAAGTTTTTAAAATTGAGGAGAATTTTAATACAAGAAACCTATGATTTACCTGCTGAAATCATGCATAGAGAGATCATTGATGTATAGTCCTGTGGTGATAAGTGAGTTGAGATCTGGCATCACAGGGGTTCCTAAATACATCATCATCCTCCAGTTGTCCATGTAGATCATCTGACCTGATAGCAAATAAAAAAATCTTATGGTTCACTATGAAGAAATTACCCGTCATAATGATGATGACAGTATTCTTTCTTCTGTAACCCAGTAATCACTGCAACCAATAGTAACTGTAGCAACCATGGGAAGCACAGTAACTGCTAGATTCTAAAGGTTTTTGATAATGGTGTATAGCACTGAGAATTACTGTGTTTTTGGACTTCATCCAACATCCAGTAATCTAAAAGTCAGAGAACACAATGTCTTGGAAACTTGATCTGTTACTATCCTTAAGTGAGGGGTGGGAGACACATACTCTGTTGAGTCACTTAGCAATTGCTAACCTCAATCACTGAAAAACACATGATCATAAAATACATTTATTCATGAGCTCAGAATAAATCCCAAGATCTAGTAGGTGAGAGGAGGTCCCGCAAAATGTAAGTATATTTCAAGTCAAAAGAAAACTCAGCAAAATCTCATCTGATACCATTCACAATTATGTTTGATACCTTTAAGTCTGAGTTTCTTGTCATCTGGTAGCCCATCTGACTCATCGCTGAGAAGAACAACATCCCTCTTCCTGTCAGAAGGACGTTCAGTTAGAACAGGTTCAACTGTCACCAGCTCAAATATGTTGTTAGTTCTATTCAGTATCTGTAAATAAAAGGGTAAAAAATTAAAATTATTAACTAAAGACAATACTTCCTTGAAGTGCACTTTATACCAACTACTTTACCCACTCATTTTCAATCACCGCTGCAATAGCAGGTACATAACTGAATGTACTATTTTTCATTCATTCTCTAGAAATATTCTTTCCCAGGGGTAAAGCGGCCAGAACGTGAAGCTGACACTCACCAACTAGTACCGAGGTCAAGAAAATGTGGATCTATACACCCACTCCCCCTATGCTTTCATCGCGTAGTGCTTAGTTAGTTAAGGACAGGGACAACTTTACCTTTTACCTTTACCTATAGAAATATTAACTCAGTAGGATGGTGAACCCTATAGATCAATACTGATTGGTAATGGACACAAATTATGCTTGCATTTCCAAATGTGTCAAGCAGTTTGAGCATCAATTCCACTGGTTTGTGTGAGTATGTTTAGGTGTACGCCAAAGCGGCCTCCGTAGTCTGGAGGTAACGTTCCCACCTCATGACTCGTAGTACGCGGGTTCAAATACCCGGCGGAGGTCATCGAATTTTTAAGGGCGGAAAAATTCAGGGAACAAGTCCTCCGGGAGGGACTTTAAGCCGTGGGTCCCGTGTCGTAGCTTTACGGCACGTAAAACAACCTCATACCTCCAAAGGAGGTCACTGAGCCAAAATTGCAGACGTTTCCCGCCCAACAGCAGTCACTAATACCTCTGGTAGATGGGGGAAGCATTATAGATACCTCTCAGCTAGTAGAGCCGGTCTCGCTGCCTGGGCAGGACTGATGGTAAGTACCAGTACCGGTAGGATATAGAGACCGGTAGAAATCATAGAGGGAAGCACAATGGACCAATACAGGTCTCAGTGCATGGGGAAACCCACCCTCTCCAATAACTAACTAACTAGATGTACACCAGCATCAATGGCTACATGCACCCACTGTTTTGTTTTCTTGTACTACAAATACAACTCCATCTTGCTGGTGCTTTTATATAACATTTTGCATACAGAGAAGAAAAATTTATAGTACATCGAGAAATTAATTGTATACATGAGAAATCGTGTACAATCTGTTGGATTTCAGTTTCTCGTAGCAATGACTATGAACAGTACTATCATCTGTAATGTGATGGTGTATAGTTTGTTAAACATTTAGTGATCTTTCTATGCTTGATGCTTATTTCATGCTCATGGTTTGTTTCTCTTGTTACTTAACCATGAAGATGGAGGAATTATATTCCTCTGAAATGTCAATAAACTTCTACCAGACCATACAGTTTGTGAGAGTATACACATTATACAGATATACATTTTGCAGACTGCAACACTATTGCAAACTAAGAGATCACAATATGACATTACTGATAAATTGTCTTGTCAGCAGCANTTTGTGAGAGTATACACATTATACAGATATACATTTTGCAGACTGCAACACTATTGCAAACTAGAAGATCACAATATGACATTACTGGAAAAATATCTTGTCAGCAGTAATGCATTATTTTTCTGCAGTACAGTTAACAACAAAACAATAAGGTGAGACTGGATGAACAGGTATGTTCTTCTCAGCATGCTTTCACTTTCTGGATCACATGTAAGGCACACACGAATACTAATTCAAGTATAAGATACCAAGTAAGCTGCCTCAAGTGGTAGTACTTCTGATTTATATTAAGGAGGTGCTTGGTTTGAATGTCAGCTGGGACAGCTACTAACCCAACTGACATTCCTTGTGGTTTTCATCAGTCTCTCAAGGCAAATGCTTTATAGTATATTAAATTATGCTATGAACACATCCTTCTTTATCTTTTCCATTTCATTATTCACTAGCATCCAATTACTCAACACTGTACTCATATGGTCCAATTTTCTGACAATGTCATTGAATAAATNATTATACAGATATACATTTTGCAGACTGCAACACTATTGCAAACTAGAAGATCACAATATGACATTACTGGAAAAATATCTTGTCAGCAGTAATGCATTATTTTTCTGCAGTACAGTTAACAACAAAACAATAAGGTGAGACTGGATGAACAGGTATGTTCTTCTCAGCATGCTTTCACTTTCTGGATCACATGTAAGGCACACACGAATACTAATTCAAGTATAAGATACCAAGTAAGCTGCCTCAAGTGGTAGTACTTCTGATTTATATTAAGGAGGTGCTTGGTTTGAATGTCAGCTGGGACAGCTACTAACCCAACTGACATTCCTTGTGGTTTTCATCAGTCTCTCAAGGCAAATGCTTTATAGTATATTAAATTATGCTATGAACACATCCTTCTTTATCTTTTCCATTTCATTATTCACTATCATCCAATTACTCAACACTGTATTCATATGGTCCAATTTTCTGACAATGTCATTGAATAAACTATGAACTACAAAGATAAGATGGAACGGTTCATATCACAAACTAGTATTCATTGTGGTAATCGTAGATAGGCATAAGAAATAAAACATATTTTAAAATAGTTTAATTTGTCATCCTTTAAGAACAAAATAACTGTAAATATTTGTAACATATTTCTTTCAACATTTAAAACTTTATACACTTTTATTATACTTATTTCTCAACTAATGCATAGCTTACTAGGAATTCCTTACCGAGTGAAACTTGAAAGCAATCAGTGGACGCACAAGATCAAACCAATTGGTGATTTTCTTGCCAATAAGATCAGGTAATATCACCATGAGTGAGTTTCCTATACTTCGTACTACCATATCAGATCTGAAAGAATTACTGAATCTTAGTTACTGAAAATATATATTTAAATTGTTTCTACTTAATGTTTTCTTCATAATTTTAGAATATACGCAATCTATATAGGCCACGCCATAGCTCAAGCGGTTAGTCGCTGGCTACCCACCGCGGCAGCCCAGGTTCAAGCCTGGGTCTGGTCAAGTGGGATTTGTGGTGGACAAAGTGGCGCTGGGGCAGGTTTTCTCCGAGTACATCGGTTCCCCTGCCAATCTTCATTCCACTAAATTCTACATCATCACAATCACCTGGGACAGGGACAATAGGCCAATGAGTGACCGACATCCCGAGTGGACCCAGCTGGACCCTATGCAAATTAAAAATAATTAATTACACAATATATATGATGCTCATGTAACTCAGAATCAATGGCAGATTGTTTAGTACATGCATAACAAAAACTCTATTCTGCTTAAAGAAATTTTTAATGACATTTAATATTGGTGATAATAACTAAGAGTGTATGATGGAAATTTAAAGTTGGCAGGATATTCAGTATAAAGTTAATTTCTTCTGCTACAAATAATTTTAATGTATATAAACGGATAAAGATATTCTAAGTCTGTAACACATATATTTAAATTTGAGTCTTTAGAAATATTTTCTAATTTTTTAACATACATGTTGATTTTGAATATTTGGGTTCATGATTTTAAAAATTTTCACGTTTCATTATTGTTCAAAATGTAATTACAATTCACATCTCACTGAATCTGACAAAAAGTTCAGTTAATTTTCTGTTTGTTAAACACTGAAATCAACAGAAACTGATGCATAAATCTGCAATACAAAATCATGTATGGTACATTTTGTAAATAATTCTGAAGCACAGTTCAAAAAATTAATTTTTACTTAAATTTTGACTGAAATTCTCAAATTTGTTTTAAATGACTCAGTTTCCTTGTAACACACTGTAACCAATGAGTATAGCACTGTGACCATAATTATTCCTCTTTATACTAGTTCAAAATAGAATAATGGCAAACTCCTGTGAACAGGATAATAGAGACTTTTATTCCACAGAGGAGAGATAAAAATTCAAAACAGTCATACTCACCCAAACACTATACTGAATGGAAAGATTTCAAACAACATGGAAGCACTAATGGGTAAATGTTTCTCTTCACGAGTCATGGTAAGCGATGCTAGTGTGAATGCTCGGTTATCAAATGTCAGCTGGAAGGTAACATGAACGGTGTCAAACAACAATTCTTCTCTCACCAGCTCAATCAGCATCTCCTTGTGGTAGAAATGTCTTGCTACCTGATTTCAAGGAACACACAATATTAATATAGTTAATTAAATAAATTAAATATCAGTATGTGAGATTTGAGATCCCCTGGGGCAGTGCATAGGAAGATTGTTGTCATTTAGGGTAAACACCATATTGTTTGGCAGAAATTTATATTAATGCTTCATATGGTGAAGCTGATTCCATTTACAAACTTTTCTACACTGAATATGGAGTCATCACATTCCTCCAAAATGGTGGTAATGATCCATGGATTATATTCTTTCATATCCCAGATCACAGTAATCATCAATAAGAATTAATATAAGTACTTTTAAGCAGACACAACAGCCAGTCTGTTATTAATAGGGATGATTTCCTGTTAGTGCACCCACCAACTCAGAACTGTAAATCTAGAACATGAATACATCATAATTTTTAAATCTGTTTGGATTACAAAGGCCTGTTACTAATTTATGCACATCTCCTTGCACAATTTGTTTACACAATGTCAGTCAGAAATTTTGGTGAAGTGTTTGACAAGCAGCATTTTCTCTTTATAGAATCACTGAAGAAACAATTAGACCTGCATGACAATTATGCTCTGTTTAACAGTACATAAACAGCTATTATGGGACTGTAAATGGACATGATAACAGATTAATAACAAAGACAATTAGACAAGTTCCAATTAAGAAAGATTGTAGACACAAATTATGATTATTTTCCAGTATATTCTACTTTTTAGCATTCCTAGATAAGAATGGTTGTTTTCCCCTTTGCACAAAAAATTATGTGTATGTAAAATAATAACTGATGTATGAAAATTAGGTAAACATGCTTGCAATTTTGATCAAATGCTGGAATTTGCACATGTCACTTTATAAATAATTTTTAAGTCTTGAAATATGCTGCAGATACTAAGCCATTCAAATTACTTTTCTGATTTGAGGATTCCATGGCAATAAAAACTGTAACTGCAGTCTTTTTATTATGACATGGCATTGCATCCCACTGCTGTGAGAATGTAAAATCCTATATAATGGTGACATGATAACATGTGCAATAAAAGAAGCATACACGTGTACAAGTTTTAATCTATATTATCCTGAGATACCAAGAATTTCAAAATCATATTCCTCATGACTTCAAATACTGGATATTTCCTATTTACCTCTCTTATTTGGCCCATGGTGTAATAAACAAATCCCCGGCGTTTACTCCTATAATGAAGCGTAAGGCCTTCTCGTGTTTCATTTTCACAGATGAATGATGGAGCTCGCATGCGAGGATAGGAGAACTTCAGGTATTCATGCAAGTTGTCCAGCCCTGATAAAAAGAAATAAGAATACTGTTACATGTAAATCCAAATGGAAATTACAATACAGTATTATAAAGCACTGTTGAATTCAGTACAAAAATAGTGACAATATTTGAATAATTATAGACGGTGAATTTGTGTCAACTGCAATAAAGTGGCTCAAAAGTAAGTCTAAGGCACCGCCATTAACAAAACTTTGATACACACAGTTCCTTCTTTCGTTTCATATGTTTCTATTACCTGTATTATTTTCTTTTATGACAGTACAATTAGAAGCAAAAACCATTCAAATGTCAAATTAATTCAGGAAGCTCTGGTTTCTTTTTTAAAGAAATAGAGATCAAACTTACAAAATTTATAAATAGAGCTGAGCTTTATTTTTAATGTTTTAAATAAGATCCTCATTAAATATAGAAAATTAAATCTGGGTATCATCAGTTCATTTATCTTGTTGCAAAATGATAATAAAATAGTGAAACAATGATGCATGAATTATTTTCAGAGCACTGTACCCACCATTGAGAAAGTCTCTCATGTGTCGTCCCAGCACTGATAGAACACGGTCATAACCATACTGGCTTACAAAGCCCACAAAGTGGACTCCCATTTGGTCAAAGAATTCCCTCTCGGTAACTCCCAGTACCTAGAAACCATAACACAAAATTCTGTTAACACTGAGGGATTTCATATTTTCACAGCTGTGAAGGTTCATGTTGTAGTCTTCCAGATTATGACAGTGTCCAGTCAGATTAGTGGTTACACAGGAACACTCTGAATCTGCCTTCTAGGTACCCTGAAGACTGTATGATATCATGACCCAGAAGACTACAACAGTTTTTTTTAATATTACTTTTCTCCTTAAATTTGGAGAGCTATCTCAGATTGTCTCTGAATCTTCATGTCTGCTGCCTAAAAACGTAAAAATTAAAATATATAAAACTATAATTTTGTCTGTAGTTTTGTCTGGATGTGAAACTTAGTCTCTGATATCAAGGGAAGTAAATGGACTGAAGATATTTGAGAACAGGGTGCTGTTTTTGTCCCAAGAGAGATGAGATAATTGGAAGTTGAAGAAAACTGCATTATGAGGAGCTTCATAATTTGTAATTTTTATCAAATATATTTTGAATGATCAAGTCAAGGAGGGTGAGATAGGCAGAGCATGTAGCACGCATGGAGGAGGAGGAGGAGGAGAATGCATATAAGGTTTTGGTGGAAAGCCAAAAGGAAATAGACCGCTAGGAAGACATAGACATAGGAGAGAAGATAATATTCAAGTGGCTCTTAGAGAGATAGGCTTAGGTGGCATGGACTAGATTCATCTAGCTTACAATAGTGACCAGTGGAAGACTCTTTGTATTTATTGTATTGTATTTATTACACATTCCAGCACATCCATACAAGGCCGAAGCCACTGAATACAGAACCTGTCTCACCACAAGCTTTTAAATCAACAAGCAGTCATATAAATCCACAACAATAAATCGAGCATATGAAACCCCTACACATCACTGCAACTACATAGCCTACCATGTCTATATAAGATATAATACAAAATTAGAACATATACATGACAATCAATCAAATAATTGGTCATAGCTAAACAAGAAACTATCCCTAATTAAAATATTCATCTAAAATGTAATAGGATTTTGTATGTAAAAAGGCACTTAAAGCTGCTCTAAATTGCTTAATATTGTGAATTAACTCTTTTATATTTAAAGGAAGATGATTAAAAAGTTTAATTCCAAAATAATAAGGTCCTCTCTGGTAAGTTGTAAAATTTGTCTGAAGGCCATAAAGATAAAAATTACATCTAATATTAATGCCGTGAATTTGTGATGTTGTGTGATATAAACCCATATCATTCGCAACAAACATCAATAAAGAAAATATATATTAGGACTGCAATGGCAAAATTCCCCAATCCCTAAATGCATCTCTACAAAAGTCACTAGATCTCAACCCACTCATGGTTTTAATTATTATGTTTTGAATGTGAAAATGTGCATACTATAAGAAGAATTTCCCAAAAAAATAATTCCATAGGTCAAAAGTGAATGGAAATAAGAGTAATATACCATTTTTAATGTCTCTGTAGGCATAATGGGCTTGATCACCCTCACTGTGTAACAAGCCTTGGACAATTTAGGCATGAGTTGGGATATATGAGCTTTCCAAGTACACACAAGCTTTCAATAGCTAGTCCCAAAAATTTCACATTTGTACTACTTAAAAACACATTATTATGATAATTAACAGAAGTTGCACTACTAGAATTTGGCTTTGTCATAAATTGAACATGTTTAGTTTTGTTAAAATTTAGCGTTAATAAGTTTGAATTAAACCAATCATGAAGATAAGCAAAGGAAATACATATCAACATCATTTCTGTATTGTATATTATTGTAACTTCTAGTAACTAAACCTGTATCATCTGCAAATGAAACTGATTTGACTGAGTTATTAAAAGTTTTCGGTAGATAATTTATATTAAAGAGAAAAAGAAGTGGACCAAGAATGGACCCCTGTGGGACACCATGCCTTACAATATCCCAACTAGAGGTACCAGCATAACTCAAGTCAGTTCTTGTTATTAAAACTCTCTGATATCAATCAGATAAATAGGATGCAATTAAATCATGAAATTTACCATCTATTCCATAAAATTGAAGTTTGTTCAATAAAATAACCTCAAAAACCAAGTGAACCTGTCAAATGCAACTAATAGGAAACCAGATGATGTACGGTTTTCGAAGATGAAGAAGACTACAAAAGACAACCATAATAGTAATTATGTGGATAAGGTAAAACATAAAATTAGAATAGTAGGAGACAGCCATGCAAGAGGTTTGACTAATGAGTTAAAGTATAACCTTACTCTTGAATTTAACTCTCAGGGAGTAGTGAAACCTGGATCTTCATTAGAACAATTAGTAAATATTTCTGATACGGACATGAAGAATTTAACAATGAGTGATGTATGTGTTGTGTGGGGAGGTTCAATGGACGTTGGCCGAAATGAGACAAAATTGGGAATTCGTGCGTTAAAAGAGTTTGTTAGCTCTCTTAATCATACAAACGTTGTGGTGATAAATGTTCCTTATAGACATGATCTCGCTCCAAATTCCTGTGTAAATTGTGAAGTTCAACTGTTTAATAGAAGACTTGAAAAACTAAAAAGGGCATATTCTAATCTTTCAGTGGTAACAGTAGACTCTACGCGTGAGTTATTCACAAGACAGGGTTATCATCTAAATTCTCAAGGGAAAGAACATATTGCAAGAAGAGTAGCTTCAGTGATAAAGGATTTGTTTAGTGCTAACGATTCGAAACCAATTGTATTAAAGTGGAGTTATCTGGATGAAATGCAGAGCCATTTAAATGAAAAGCAGACGTCTGGTGTTGAGGTTGTTGAAGGGAATGGTTGTGGAAGGAACACCATGGAACAGTTAGTGGGTGATGGGGCCATAGAGTCTAATGTAGCAAATCATGCTACGATTTTACTGATGTCTCAGGAGAATACCTGTCTGAATCAAGTGGGAGTCCATGATAATCCAAGCAGTGATCAGATTGATCACATAAACCATGAAAATGATTCTCAAATAAATAACTCAATACCTTCGAAGAGAACGCGTCGTCAACCCTCCAAAAAAGTTAGTAAGGATTTTTTAAGGTAACTTCATTACACCAGTCTATTCTACCATCTTGTTGTAACAAAATCTCAAATTATCAGGAACTGGGTATTCTCCACCAAAATGTTCAAAGTTTGAGTAACAAATTATTTGAATTTCAAGTATTATTGGATTCTTGGTCAAATAAGCCTGCAATTTTATGTTTCTCAGAGCATTGGCTCCAATATGAGCAACTTATGTATATTAATATTGATCAGTATAAATTGGTTGATAACTATTGTAGAAAAGATAACAAGCATGGGGGCTCCTGTATTTTTATATTAAATGAACTCAAGTTCAAGGAGCTTCCCACTGTTACAAATTTAGGTAGGGATAAGTTATTTGAAATCTCAGCTGTTGAACTTATTGATCTTAAAATTATTGTGGTATGTATATATAGATCCCCAATGAGTAATGTGGACAGTTTTCTCGAATTGTTAGAGACAACTATAAATAAGATTGCAAAAAAGGCATGTTTCTTGATTTTATGTGGAGATTGGAATATTAATTTATTGACTGATACAACTCACCAAAAAGCCTTAGTTAGCCTATTGTTGTCAAATGACTTAGTAAATACTGTACCTTGTCCAACAAGGGTCACTTCTTCCTCTAGTTCATTAATAGATGTCATGATAACAAACAAGATTTTCTATCCTTCTGTAACAAATGTGATGGAAATGGGGTTTTCTGATCACTTTGCGGTTGTTATGGATGTAACTGTAAATCTTCCTTCCACTTCAAATATTATAATAAAAAGAGTCTTTTCTCGGAATAGTATAGACATGTTTAACTGCCATCTGGCATCTGAATCATGGAATGAGGTTTACTCCCAATCTGATGTTAATAGGGCATATTCTTACTTTTTATCCAAGTTCACTATGTATTTCAATCGGTTTTTCCCTTTAAAAGAAGTCTCAAGAAAGAAAGGTAATAAAGTATGTTGGATTACTAAAGGTATAAAAGTTTCTAGACAGAAGCTTCAGTTGCTGCATTTGTTAAAAAGAAAGCTGATTTTATCTGCTTCTGCATTAAATTATATAAAAAAATACCAGAGTACCTATAAAAAGATCTTATTCGCTGCTCGAAAACGTGCAAATGACCGTATTATTGCAAATTCTAGTAATAGTACAAAGGCCTTATGGAATATAATAAAGAAAGAAACAGGAAAAGGCTGTATTTCAAATCCGACTATTGCGTTAGAAATTGGTTCAGTGTTAGTTACAAACCCCCAGCTTCTTTCTTATCATTTCAATGATCATTTCGTAGAGATTGTTGATAGGATGTGTACCCATACAAAGGATATTAGACAGGTGCGTGTCCCTGCTAATACAATACCTCGGAATGCTAATACGATGTTTGTGGCTCCTATTACCGAAGAGGAGGTACTAAATGTTACTGGTAAACTAAAAAATAAGTATTCGTCTGGCTTTGATGAGATTCCGGCATCATTAATTAAACACTGCATACAGTTTATAAATAAACCGTTAACTTTCATATTTAATCTCTCATTAAACACAGGTACCTTTCCAAATTTGATGAAGATTGCCAAAGTACGGCCTATTCTAAAGAAGGGCCGAATTCAAGATATTACTAATTATAGACCAATTTCAATTCTTCCTGCATTTTCCAAAATCTTTGAAACTTTAATACACAATAGACTTATAAGTTTTTTAAATAAATATAATTTGATTTCTAGTGCCCAAAATGGTTTCCGAGCTAATAAATCTACCTATACTGCTATCCAGTCTTTTCTTGAGGACATTTTGACAACATTAGATTCAAAACGATTTGCCATGGGCGTATTTTTAGATCTTACAAAAGCCTTCGATGTAATAAACCATGACCGGTTACTTACTAAATTGGACTTGTATGGGCTTAGAGGAAAAATCCATGAGTGGATGACCTCGTATCTAACGAATAGATTCCAATATGTAGAAATTTATCGCCAGGACCATGTATCCTGTTATTC